CCCCCCCCCGGGCCCCCCCCCCCCCCCCCCAGCTGGGCAGCACCTGCCCCTACCCACTTCCTCAATGCAGGGAACATTGATCTGCCCTGCCCTTCCCCTCCCTCCTTCCCTTCCACCACACCAGATTTACCACCTGATGGCAGTTGTGTAGGATATTGGATTGGTATCAGCCGATATGCCTCCTTAAATATCTGGTATTGGTATCAGCTCCCAAAAATCTCTATCAGTGCACCCCATATCATTACCATCAAATCGAAAATTAAACACCACCTGTTTGAACTGCTCTTCTTGCAATACAAACCAATCTGATCAAATCCTGAATGAGGTTTAGTGGGAAAGTTAGTCAGTAACCTTGACTGAAACCCCTTGAATCAACTATAAGAAAAAGGGCCGGGTCACTGACGTTTCATGGGACATATGTCAGCACCTCAGCAGAGTCATTATGAGACACACCCAGCTAGAAATTAACAGCTCAAATTTTTTAACCAAGTCCTCACCATATGACAGTGTATGGGTAAAGGCTTAGAAGTGGTACTCATTGTGATGGGTATTTTTTTTTAAAGAAACTGGAATTTTGGTACAAAAATAAACCTAAACATCTTGGGTCTGGCAACAGGGCTGGCTCAACAGCTAACCTTTTTCACCATTGCCCTGAGCGAGCCCATGGTCTAGACTCTCAAAATTTAGTCCCTTGCACCCATATGAATGAGTTATAGATTGTTTTTGAAATCAGACAACTTCCTAGGCTCCTAAATACAGACTCAGGAACCTAACATTTAGACACTCAAAGCTAAGTTGCTGGTCCAGTGAAATCAGAAGCAAAATGGGTCTCATCCCTCATCCTGGAAGTACTGGAGTAAGATTTTCAAAAACAGATAAAAGGTCTGGGCTTTTGACTGAGGAAGGTGGATACTGGGCTATAAAACAACTGTGTGTTTTTCCTTTGGTCAAAGCACCCTAGTTTTTAATATCATATATTCATTAAGGGGTAGTATATACACAAAATACTTGTTTATATAATAATCAGAAAATATGCATGAGGGACTTCACTTTCCTTCAGCAATGCATGATGAATAAGAATTACTATGACATGATATTTTCTAGAACAACCAATCAGCTTCCCCCTATCTTCATATCCTCTTGCCAATTTCATGATCCGCATGGAAGAGGAGGAAGAAAAGTGGAGTGAACTCCCTTCACTGAAAAGACCCGAAGATAATTTGGGGCAGATAACAGAGCAGATTTAGATTTTGTAAAGGCTGTAAAATGGAACCCTTTTCTTTACCAGAAAACAGAACAATGTTAAGATAGCCAACATTATTTTTCCATATAATCAGATCATATATTACACATGCACACACAAACATGCTATTATTTTACCCAGAAAACTAACAGCTGTATACTCATCAAAACATTAGCTACCTGTAGTGTTTCTCTGCTAACATAGGCAATCTGATGTTCTGAAAGTGGTCCAGTAACTACAAAGGGAAAAAAAAGTTTAAAAAAATACATTGAACTCCTTATTTTCCAAAGCTGTATTTCAATTACTTCCATAAGTTCAGCTACTCATACGTAAGCACCTGGCTGCATTTTGTTCCAGTCCTACCATTTATACCCTGAAACAAAAAAGTTTGGCAAAGAAAATAACAGAAGTATGAATAAAGACTGGGGCTCCTTAAAGGAAACTAGAGGAATAGGGCAGTGCTGTACCCCACTGAAATTCAATGGGAGCTAAGTAGTGAACAACCTGATGCTTCCTTTAAAAGTTCCAGCTTTAACACAGAGAAATACTTTGCAATATAAGTTTCAAGAACAAATATAGATCTGTCTTCCCTTTACTGATGTAAAGGAAATAATGTATTTACCAGAATTCAAGATAACCCCTCAATAATTAGATTCCATATATAGAAAATTTATAAATTTATTATAGTTTTCCATATATAAAATCTAGTTATTGGAGGGTCATCTTAAATTCATCCCCCATAGCAAACAGCAGCACCAGGGGAGCAGACAATGGGAGGGCAGGTGGCAGAGGACTTGAG